GTACTAATACCACCATTAAAAGGGGAAAAAAACTAAAAGAAGATATGCCAAAGTACAAGGTACACCATAATCTACATTGTATCTCTAACAAATTTTATAAATCCTTCAAGGTTCGGAGGAGGTTGCGTTGGTGGTGGTGGAAAAGAAGCTTGTTCATCACCACTTCCGGGCGAAGCAGCATCCCAAGCTTGTTCTGCCATCATTTAAACTTCCAAACGGTCAAAATTGCAGCCCAACGACTATAGTTTTAATTTTTGATCGTTGCTATTTTTTTTTTTAAAAAAGTAGCCGTTAGGCCCGGTAAGACCGGCCCGGTCCCGGGCTCGTGGGCTTTTTTACCATACCCGGCCCGCCACGGGCTTTTTGCNTTTAAAAAATAATTTTTTTTTTAAAAAAGTAGTCGTTAGGCCCGCCAGCCGGTCCCGGGCTCGTGGGCTTTTTTACCATACCCGGCCCGCCACGGGCTTTTTGCACCATTAAGGACCGGCCCACCAGGCCCGTTTAGCCCGTTAGGACCGCGGGCCCGGTCCGGTCCCGGTCCCAGCCCGACCCACCGTACATCATTACCTGTATATGAACTTCCAGCATATTATGCTGCAACTCCAACACGCAGAAAATTCCAGCATAATATACTGGAGATTGGAGCACCTGTATATGAACTTCCAGCATATTATGCTGGACCGGTATATTACACTGAAACTCCAGTATACTTATGCTGGAGCTCCAATATATATTATACTGGAGTATTTTTCTGATTTTGAACAGTATTTTCGTTCAAATTTATCTTTATATAAAAAACGGCTAAATTTCGATTACTTTAAAATTATGGCTATTTTTGAATCACCACTTATAAATATGACTATTTTTTTATTTCTCCCGTAAAAAATATCTAAAGGCTGAGGAAAAAAGGAGAAAGTAACACTCACTTTGAGGTGTCATCACTCACTTTGTGTAATTCAACGCGGACAGAATATTCTTCTTAAACAAACAAAAAAAAATGTACGATAATCAAATAGAGACAGTAAATTTGTAAGTTTACATGTATTTGTGGAAAGTGGCATTTGAAGTAATTATTCTAAAAAAATGAGGGTATTTTTATTTTTCTATTTTCAACTCTTTGACTATATAAACAAACAAAAGAGTAGTACCTAACACTCCATTCTTAGTTTCATCAATCAGCAAAAGACATCAGGCTCTTTCTTTCTCCCTTTTGAACAAAAATCACAAAAGTAAATACATTCTTCTGAATTTTCAAGGTTTGTAATACCATCTTTTTTTTTCTTTGATTTGGTTAAGGAATTTTTGTTGGTCTTGAGTAGTTCCTTATTTTTATGTTAAGTCTTGATTTTTTTTATTCATGGTTTAAGGTTTTGTGTTTATCTTGAAAACATCTTAAGATGAATGATTCTGTTATATGTTAGCAGTTTATATGAAATTCCCTTCTTTCTTTCTTTCCCTTTTTTTTTTGAGGTGATGGGGGTGTATAAGTAGTGATTTTTTAATTTGTTTTTGTGTAAAGTTTTGATTTTTATGTTGTTGGTAAGAGTTTTATTGCAATTCCCTTCTCTTTTTCTTCCTTATATTTTGATGGGGAGTGATTTTTCTATTTGTTTTGCATAAAGATTTGATTTTTATGTTCAATTCATTCATGGAATCAGGAAAGGTTTAATCTTTGAAGTCTTTTAGGTTTATTCTTTTGTTTTCTAGTTTATCATAGTTTTTTGTTTAGGTCTCTGTGGTTTTCATTCCTTCTGTTAGTTCTGTTTCAAGTCTTATTTTGATCTTCTTTTTAATTGCCTATTTATTTTTCCATTTAATTGGGGGGTTGGGGAGGGGGGTGGGGGTACACCGGGTGCTTTTTTTAATGTTCAAGCTAGCTTTCCATGATTACAGTTTTATCATGGATTTCATGATTTATCTCTTGAGTTGAAGTATCCAGTGAATAAAAAAGGAAATTTGATATTAGGCATTTGATTTGTACACAAAAAAAGGGATTTCTTTTTGTATTACCTTTTCTCTAAATAAGCTAATAAAGGCTGATTAGTTCATTGTAATTGAGAGGTATTTGTTTTTTCTTGATATGCTTCTGATTCTATGGTAACCTTGCTACTGCAATTAGTATTTGAAAGTTAAAGACTGAGTATAACTCCAAGTGCATTTGCTATTTTTCTATTTTTTTTTTCTAGATGTGAGTTACTTATATTGAATTTTCACTTTTTTCTTCCCTTAATTAGAAGCTGCAAAAAGAGACTTCTCTGATGTAGGGCCTCTTTTTAGTGTTCTCTTTTTTCTGCCTAATATGTCTAGTTTCTCTGTATGGCTATAAAATGAATTGAACTTTCATAGTTCAAGAGAAATGAGGAAAAAGAAAGAGTTTCTCTTGGTTGGCCTTCCTACGCTTACGAATGCCTCTTTTCTCTTCTCTGAAATCTACAACAAACAAGTGGGAGAGGGAGGATTTGAACCTATGTAGAAAAACTTCAACAGATTTACAGTCTGCCGCTTTTGACTACTCGGCCACTGTCCCGTTCCCGGGCCAAGGCCCCCTCAATGGGTTCTAATTCTAAGAAGGCCTATGAATTAGTTCCAAGAAAGCGGCCGTTCACGTCAGGAATAGAGGCCGTTAAGGATGTACTTGCTTTTCCTTTTTTTCGTAGAGATTGGGTTGGTTAACTTTTTTCTTAACTAATGTAGTTTAGTGCTATATATGGAAATTATGTCTTGGTGAAGAGAAAGGAATGTTATTAGAGATGAATCCTCTGCGATTCCGGGATTGTTAATTTTTTTCTTAACTATTGTAGTTTATTGCTATATATGGAAATTATGTCTTGGTGAAGAGAAAGGAATGTTATTAGAGATGAGTCCTCTGCAATTCCGGGATGTAGAAACTATGTTTCAAGTTTAGAAACCCTTGGATGTTATTATCCGGAGAATGATTTCCAAGATGGATGATAATAGTTTGTGTCTTGCCCATTTTCATGAGCGTCTTCGTATTTTGCTTTTGCTCTTTTTTGCTTTTTCATAAGTAGATGTGCATTCATTTATACTTTCTCGGCATAATCCTTTCTAATTGTTCTCTTAGCTTAAGAGCATCATTATTAATTAGTATGTGCTTTGACTGATCATGCATCCCATTCTTGGCAGGTTCTGTTAGTTATATAGGTTTTGCTGACACATCACGGAGTAGCAAATCTTTCTCGAGTTCTTCAGATTTAACATTGTCATTCGCTGCTGAAAGAAGCGCTACTCCTAGAGATATTGTGACCACTTTTAGTTGAGAGAGATTTGCTAATCTGGATGTACCTCCTTCACTAAGATAGCTTTCCTCCGAAACGGTTGTTTGAAATCACTCTTCATCTTCTTAGTCATTTTGATATTCCAGATGCAAGCATCCCAACGACCTCAAATGTCTGGTGGCGTCCATGGATTATACAATCAGCCAATGCAGCAAGTTGAGCAATATTACGCCCCTTACCATTTCAAGAACAACAATTGCAATAATACTAGCTCAGTGACACAGTTTACTTTTCAGACACAGAATGAACATTTCTTCACTCTGGACTCATTGCCGGCTACTGACTATGTTGTATACGATTCACCTACTGCCTTAAGTGTCTCTTCCAACAGGAGTCCCTTCTCGCCGCAATGTTCACAGTCATACATGTCTGATCTGCATCACTCCTCTGATAACAACACTTGTGGTTCACCTTTCAGTGGGTGTTCAGGAGTTGATGATGGTGACCTGAAACATGTGCTTCGGGAGCTGGAGAATAAGTTACTGGGGCCTGAATCTGATACTGACGACAGCTGCAGTTGCTCCTTTAATGATGTGGTCTCGAAACCTTCTTCCTTGACAAGGTGGAACCAAGTGTTGGACATGGCGCCCAGCTTGAACTTGAAAGAGTTGCTCTATGCCTGTGCTGAAGCAGTGTCAGATGCTGATATCTCAACTGCTGAAATTCTTATGAATATTTTAGAGCAAAGGGTGTCAGTCTCTGGGGAACCTATGGAACGATTGAGTGCATATGTGTTGGAAGGGCTTAGAGCACGACTACTGTCGTCAGGAAGCATCATATACAAAAAATTGAAGTGCAAAGAACCGACTAGCTTGGAGTTATTATCTTATATGCAAGTCATCTATAACATGTGCCCATACTACAAATTTGCTTATATGTCTGCAAATGTCGTCATCAGGGAAGCCATGACGAATGAGAACAGAATCCATATTATTGATTTTCAGATTGCACAGGGAAGTCAGTGGATGTTCCTCCTCCACGATCTTGCTCGTCGGCCTGGTGGACCCCCATTTGTCCGCATCACAGGTGTTGATGATTCCCAATCAGCTCATGCACGAGGTGGAGGACTTCAGCTAGTAGGCGAAAGGCTAGCAGAAGTTGCCAAGTCATGCGGAGTACCTTTTGAATTCCACGGTGCTGCACTATCAGGCTGTGAGGTCCAAGTAGAGAATCTTCATGTTAGGCGTGGAGAAGCGCTGGCAGTAAACTTCCCTTACATGCTGCACCACATGCCAGACGAGAGCGTAAGCACGATCAACCATCGAGACCGCCTATTAAGGCTAGTTAAGAGTTTGTCGCCCAAAATTGTGACCTTAGCTGAACAAGAATCAAACACCAACACCGCCCCTTTCCTTCCAAGGTTCCGTGAAACTCTTGATTACTATACAGCAATGTTCGAATCAATTGATGCAGCTCGCCCTAGGGATGACAAGCAGCGGATCAGTGCAGAGGAGCATTGTGTCGCACGGGACGTTGTCAACATAATAGCATGTGAGGGGGCCGACAGAGTGGAAAGGCACGAACTTTTTGGAAAGTGGAGGTTGAGACTTATGATGGCCGGATTTACTCCATGTCCATTGAGTCCATCAGTTGGTGAGACCATCAACGATATGTTGAAGGAGTACAGCCCAAATTACAGGTTTGCAGAAAGCGAAGGGGCACTCTACCTTGGATGGAAAAATAGAGCTTTAGCAACTTCTTCTGCCTGGAGATGACAACTTGTTGCCTATTATTGTCAAACATCTGTACATTTTTGCCATATGATCTCGACGTTTATCTTTTGTTGAAGACTAGAAGAGTGTATTTTTAACCCTTTTCGTTTCATATACAGAGCTCGGAGTATGAAATCTTAGGTTTTTACATGCCAGCACAGGGAGGAATATCGCGAGTCTAAAATAGATTCCATGTCTCAACATCTGGTTTTTGTCATTTTTCTCCAAGTTTATTGGTTTTTCTCATATAGATCTTGAGCTCTATCTGCTAATGTTTGTATACATGAAATCCTGTTTCAGACTCTTCTAGTTGAGTACAAGGTTTCTTGGTTTTTTGTTTCCCTTTATGTTTGCATGCTTTTCTTTAGTTGTACATTTCTTTTAGCAGTTTAAATGGTGTAGATTGATTGCCACCTTGGGCTAAAAATGTATTTTTGCTCTACACGAAAAAACAACGTTAACGAACAAGAAAACAGATGTGCTGAAGTGCAACACCTTTTGCACAGCTCAACTGGTCATATGTGAGACTAGGCGATTTCTTTCCATGTGTCCATGTGGTGAATAGAATTACTTGGCGCATAGGTTGTTGATAGGATGGCAAGTGGTGCGGGTGCGGGGCGGGTTTTCATTTAACCAGCAAAATTTTAACCCGTCCCGCCCTGTCTCGCATAGCAGTTGCACCTGCATTCGCTCCGCATCCACACCCGCGTCTGCCCCGCCCCACCCTGCATAAAAGGTTTTTTTAATTTATTTATTTATCATTTTATTAGTTTTAAATTTTTTTAATCTTTTGGCTAGAATTTTTTGTACACTTTTACTATATTTTTAATCTTTGGGAGGCAATATTAGCAATTTATGTATATTAAATTTTACTAAATACAAAATTTAGATGAGGACTGAGTATTGATTTAGTCAGTTACAAATGTAAAAAGCAAGCCAAATGGATCTACATCCCTAAATTTCGCATAAAAACAGATCTTTTTGTTCCCTTTGTGTAAAGGTGGCAAATTCTAATTTGTTAATTTTATAAACCTTTAACAAATAACCAAAAATGGCGTTTAAAAGATTTTGTTTGTATTTTTTTTCTATTAAGGAAAGAAAACAGCTCAGCTTTCTTTCCTATCTATTCTTAAATCTGAAATTACAAATCCCTCTCTTCAGTCACCATTAACACAGATAGGTCTTTCAGTCCCTATCAAGAATTAATTTTTATTTATTTATTGTGAGCTTTTTCAAATAAAGAATTCCCCCCCTGGATTTTTCGTGATTATTCAGTAATTAAAGTCTTTTTTTTTCTGTGTTTATTTGCAGATTTGTGTGTTATGGATGATTAAGGACGTGGGATATAGAGTTAAGGTAATTCTTTTTATTTATTTTTTTGGTTTTTCATTCGGTGTCTGGTATTGACATTTGCATCATATGTATGTAGGGTTTATTTATTATTAGTACAGTAAAGAAAATCATAGCCTGCTACGAGCTTTATATAATTTGTATTTCTTTTTACATTTCAATGATATTAAACATGATATAACACTTTTCTCTTTTACTAGTACATTTATCTTTCACCTAATCCTCTTAATAGATTAGTTACATGTCAAATTTTATGGTATTTTGTAGTTCATCGGTTTCGCCGACTAGACAAAAAGAGTGATTGAGTCGATACAAAAGTGCACTTTGTCTCTGCCAGTGTTATCAAAGGCGCACTTAAAGCACACTTAAGCCCTGAAATAAGGCTCAAAACATGCTGAGCGCTTCACCTCGCTTAGCGGGCACTTTAATGTTGTTATCAAGGCTCTACGACATACTTTTCTTTACTAACAATTATGTTGCTCAGACTCTTCGAAAATATTGCTGCGTGCGTGTCGAATCCCAAAAATAGTATATTTTTGGAGGATCTGACACGGATGCGGCACCATTTTGGAGAGTCCGCCCAACATAGACTAACAAACGTATCCTGAAGAGACGACACTAAACAATTGATATTTCACTTTGTTGTAAATTTGTTTCAATTTTTTGTCCGTATATTTGGTGTTCATGCTTATAGGATATCAGTCTTGAACTACACATGTATATTTGTAGTTTTTCTCTATTTGCGCATTTCTTCATTAAAGTCCACGCTTTATTTGCATTTAAATCCCCAACAGACCTTAGAGCTTTTTTGCGCTTTTCGCCTTTCTTAACACTAGTCAGTGCTGTAATCACTGTCCTTTATCTGCGGCAAAGTTTGAATTCATGACGTGCGCCTAAACCCACACATGGGGTCGACCTGTGAAGAAGGTAAACCTAATGGGAACCAAAAAACGGGTGGTGGCAGAAGACGAACCAAAAAGTAAAGGCTACTATCGACCCGAGCCCAAAGAAGGAAAAGAACCGACTAAAGCAAGGAGTTCATTAGCCATACATAGTTAAGGAGGACGGGGGTCAACCTCTTTCATGACCCATGGCCCCAATGTATCACTTGGTTAGCATTTGTAGAACAAAATATGACTACAAAATTATCGGTCTACTCTACCTCAATTCACCATTCGAACCTTATACAAAAGGTTTTTCCGTACAAGCTCCTTCTACCTTTATCACTTTGCCAAAGGCTATACTTTATTCAAATTCATTTTATCTGCGGCAAAGTATGAACTCATGACGTGCGCTTAACCCTACACATCACATACTGGATTTGATCACTTTGCCAAAGGCTATACTCTATTCAGATTTATTTTATTCCAACATTAAAGATTTCTGTCTCTTTTGTACTGATTGAAGCATAAATTTTTCTGTTGCAGTGCAATCAGGCTGGAGCAAAACTGCATGAATACATAGTTCAATGGCTACTGAAGAGTTATCTGAAACTAAAGAATGGCACATTGTAAAGAATTGGCGCAATGTACAAAAAGAAAAAGAACGAGAGCGTCGTCGAATTCGCGATAGATTGAGAAGGCAAACAATGAGTCTTGAGGAGAGGGAAAAACATTTAGCTAGACGTAGAAGAAACTATCAATTGAGAAGGCAAAAAGTTTTGAATAATTCATTTTCAAGTTGTCAAAATTATGAGAGTACTAGTGGTGGAAATTCAAATGAAGAAGAAAATCAAGCAATTGTTCCTGTTTCAGGACTTGGGGTTCAATCATCTGAGGCTACATTCTGTCCTGAATCATATAAATCACAAGAAGAATCAGCTGCATCAAGTTATACATTGCACCAAGGTATGTTATGTATAGAATAAGTATATTTTGATTAGTTGTTTTTTAATAACAGTGGTATCTGCGCTAGCTTGTATGCACCTCGACTATTTCACGGCATACCTGTTACCTCCAGAGACGGGCCTATGCTATACCGAGAGGGGCACCCATAAAGTTTGGCAAAAATTTCATGTATACATATATATGTCTTTATAAAATAGTGATATATTAGTAGTGAGCATACAACAACATATCCAATCTTATCCCACACCGTGGGGTCGGGGGAGGGTAGCGTGTACGCAGACCTTACCCCTACCTTGTGAGGATAGAGAGGTTGTTTCCAATAGACCCTCGACTCAGGATATATTAGTAGTGAGCATACAACAACATATCCAATCTTATCCCACACCGTGGGGTCGGGGGAGGGTAGCGTGTACGCAGACCTTACCCCTACCTTGTGAGGATAGAGAGGTTGTTTCCAATAGACCCTCGACTCAGGATATATTAGTAGTGAGCATCCAGTATATAAAGTTGATTTTGATTGAATTTAAAAAGTGTACCCCGACCTTCAAATCCTGGATCCCCCTCTTACCTCCCACCGTACTGGTAGTGGTTAAATCTGTCTACCAAGGCTTAGACAGAGAAGAAAAAATCACATAGTAATATTTAGAAGCCGCTTAACAATTTTTTTTTCTCTATTGAAACTTCAGTCTTTATTTTTTATGATTTTTACCCGTTTCATTGACCCCCCGGATAGATATTTGGTGCCATTTTTGCTGAGTCGTTGTTAAGGCCAATGATTTTGTTAGACATTAAGATTCAGCTTTGTTTTTGTGATTGAATAGGAGCAGAAGAAAGGATGAATAAAGTGCAGAGAAGTCCAAATATTCTGCCTTTATATCAAATAAGACATCTTGCTCGACTATTGAATTCTCTTTCAAGGGACAATCAAGAAATTGGGACAGGTTTAACGTCAAATGACAATATTACTACAGAGAGTAAGTGTTTTTTTTGTAAGAGGGGAAACCCGCAACCTCTGCATAGCCTCTGTCCTTCGGGTGCTTCGGGTGAGCAATCTGTAGCGAGCACTTTGTGCCACTGGGTAAACCTCCCCTGTGTAATAGTCTACAAATCACACAGGGATATAAATCGCACTGGGCAAACCCTGTGCGACATGCTCAACCTAAAAGGCATTAAAGGGGGATTCGATCCCAGTTCATCTGTATGGATGACCACCCTCGAGACCAACTGGGCAACTCAGAAGGATATTATAGAGATTAAGTTTCAATACATATTTTTCATGTCTTTTTTCTTGTCTTTCTATGTTGCTCAAGTTTAATTGATATTTCAGGTACATTGCGACGAGGTATAAGATTAATTGATGTTAAACGTCTGGCCCGAGCGCTTAATGCAAATTGAAGAATGTTTTTCTTTTTTTCTTTTTGCTAGAACTGAAGTACCTATTTAAATTTAAAAGCTCAAACTTGGTTCCATATTAGCTGCATTGTTGTTGACTATAATAACATTAAGCTTGTTTGGATTGTTATTTCATATCATTTCATAATGTATCGTATTGTATTGTGTTGTATTATATTGTATTGTTTGCTGAATACAATATTTGGATAGATTGTATCGTTCGTCGTCGTTTCATGATATTATGCACTGACAACAAGGGTGTCTAACGGGTGGGCCGGGCCGGGCTGGGTTACAGGTACAACGGGCCGGGCTGGGTTAGTGTTTTTTTTTTTTTTTTTTTTTTGTATTTTGTATAATTATTGTAATTTATATTAATATAAAGTAAAAATATAAAGAATACAATGAAGATGGAAAAAATTGCATTTATAAATTGCAAGTCCTACCGTTATTTCAAAATTCAAACTTACAAATTGAAAGGTTTACAATTAACAACAAGTAAATTAACGAAAAAGAGTAAATTCAAAGGTTTTACATTGCTTTAGACTCTAAAACCTTAAAAAAATTGAAATCTAGCCTTTAAACCGGTCCGGTTAACCGGTTCTACAGGGCTTTGGGTTGACCGAGTTTGACTGGTCCGGTTAATCGGTAGGATTTAAGTAAACGGACCAACCCGCCTACCCCTTTAACCCAGCCCCACCCGGCCTCCTTGTACCGGTCTGGGCCGGTCCTGAAACGGGCTGACCCGGCCCGTTAGACACGCATAACTGACAATATGAAGAATAAACTTGTAATATTACTAAGAAAAATAGAATATGGAGTAGAATTATTATATAAAAGAGTAGGGTAAAGGATAAAAAATGATTATTTAATAATAAGGAAGAGCAAGATAAGAGAAAAAAGCAAGGTAACGACACTACCACACTAAATTCGTCGTTCTATAAAGCGACACTCTTTGTCGTTATGTAACGACGAAATTAACAATACAATACTATAAAATTTAAGTAACATCAAAATAAACATTATATTTAAAGGAACAATACAATAGTAACAACCATCCAAACAAGCTGTAAATGTGTCAGATAATGGAAACACTTAACTTTGTTAATTTAATTGATTCGTGAGTTGACACATTTTTCGTATCCGTCAATTGGGAGAATAACGCAAAAATATATTTACAGCACTTCCGGGTACATTCATTTTAATTTTAAATTGTAATATTTCAAACTTAGCACATTGTGTTGAATGTTGGAGTTTCACATACGTAGAGTTTCTCGCTCCAACATATTATGCTGAAATTCATATGTATGAGTTCACTCACAATACTAATAAATGATTGCAAAGTTATATTAGTACAAATCATCATATACTAATAGATAAAAATAAATGGATATAATCACAAATTCATGTTGTACAACCACAAAATGAAATAAAATAAACCTGCAAGTCATAGCGAAGCAATAAATATTGGTCACTATGATGTACAAGGTTTCACTGCCTAACTATAGACTTTCCATTCATCGGAAGTCAGGGCTAAGAGTTATCATGAGTTAACTCCGGCTTATCTACTAAAGGTTGTAACTTTGTTTCTTGTGAGCGTACGGAATTTCAGGCCAATTGAAATCTGTCAAAAAAATTGTACAAAATCAGCATGTACACGCGAAAGTGGATATAATCATAAATTTATGTTACATGATCCCGAAACACCATAAAATGAACTCGAAAGTCATTGCGAAACGACGAGCATTGGTCACTAACTATTTTCTATGAACCTACAAAATTTCAGGCGAATCAGAATCCGTCAAAAAAATTCAATATAATCATCATGTACATTAACGCACAAAAAAATGAATATAATCAAAAACTTATGTTGCATGAACCCAGAACACCATAAAATGAACTCGAAAGTCATAGCAAAGCAATGAGTATTGGTCACTAAGTTATTTTTTATGAACCTATAAAATTCCAGGTCAATCAAAGTCCATAAAAAAATTCTACATTAACATACGAAAAAGTGAATATAATCATAAATTTGTATTTCATGACCCTGAAACGCCATGACGAAGCAATGAGTATTGGTCACAAAATTGTTTCCTATGGACCTACAAAAATTTAGGCCAATCATATTCCGTGAAAAAAATTCTATAAAATCAGCATATATCAATACATACGAAAAGATACATATAAATATAAACTCGTATTGCATGACCCCAAAACTAAGCTTGTCTAGGGG